GCGGGGGGGGGGGGGGGGGGGGGGTGTTGGCGCAAGAAAGTCTAATATCAGTCCTAACATTTAACGAGGATGAGCATAATAAAATATTAAATATTGACTCAACTATTAACTGCTGGTGCAAACGTCTACTAGTTCTCCCACAACTTCATCAATTTCTTGATCTCCTCTTTCACTTATTTTCACTTACATTTCATCAGCATTTTTCCTCAAAAATTCTCCACTTTTTTCCATCACAACTTGCTTAATAACTTCTGCTACTCTCTCTGTGTGAAGCTGTCCCTTCGAGTTTCTCACCACCTCCACCTCCACACCAACACCAATATCCTCAACAAATCTGGGGTCAAGTTGCATAGGCATTGCAATAATCGGAATTCCAAGATGCATACTCTCCAAAACTGAGCTCCATCCACAGTGACCTAAAAATCCCCCATTATTTTCATGTCCTAGAATATTCAACTGCGGGCCCGTCTCTCGACCGCCAATCCTCTATCGCTAACTCTTTCAAGATACCCTTTTGGCAGTGTCTCCTCGAGTTTACGTTCCACATCTTTAGGAAACCTCACGACCCATATGAAGTTAATGTTGCTTGGTTCTAAACCTCGAGCAATTTCTTCAGTGTCTTCTTTGGAATGAAAATATTCACTACCAAAGGAAACAAAAACAGTGGATTTCTTTTCTTTTTTGTTAAGCCATTCTACGATATCGGGATTCTCATCATCAAGGCTCGGTTCTTGAACCAACGAATCAACTAGCACAAACTTCTTTCCAGCTAATTCAGTTACATAATCAATATATTTGGCCTCAGTTTTTCTAGAACCGTCGCAACACCCCTGAAGCACGATCTTTTTCTCCTGGATCCAATGCACATGCTAGCAATTTATTCGAAAGCTTACTCTCACGATCCCAAAAATAAACCGTCGGGAAGGAGAATTGATACCTGGCCTTTTGAGGTGATGAAACAAGAAAGATGTCATCGTGGAACTGCTGGTAATGAACTCAACTGCTGGGATATTTTGGACAGAAGCCGCAAGTGGTGCCCAAGGCTGGAGGAAATCATAGATTAGCAAGTCAGGCTTTATCAACGATAAAATATTGGCGAATTCGGGTTCAGCCATGCCGAACATGAGGTCGAGCGGGAGGCCATTGGTGGCGTACAGGTGAGTAGGAAGGCCCGGCAAGGTTGGCAAATGGAGTGAGACTAATTGCATTGACTGCGCAAACTCTTCACTGATTTTTTTGCTTGATGCAACCGAGATTAGCCAGGGTTGAACACAAGTATATGATAAAGTTTCTAGTAGTTTCTTGGCCAATTCTAGGTAGGGTGTTATGAGACCATACCCCTACCATGGGAACATGAGAAATCGAATAATGCCTGCCTTCATGAAGCCATGAAAACTC